CTTTTGCACAACTCTCTTTTAAGTTTCCTTTTTTTTTTTTTAAACTCATTCTAATTTTCTGCATTGTGTTTGGGAATTAAAATGAAGACTAAGACCAATAGAAACTGGGTTTCAAAAAGGCAAATACACTCCCATCTGTTTCAGATGCTGCTGAGCATTTCAGTAGTGACAGATTCAAATAATAAGCTAATTTTTGGAGAAAGGATTAAAAGAAAAAAACTTTGTAATATTTATCACTTGCAAGCTATGTTTAATAAAGAAAGGAATGGTTTCTAAACTTTCCTGTGGCTGTGCTTTAGTCATGGTGGGCAGTTTGGTGGGAGAATTTTAGGCGTAATTGGGAGATGAGCTATGGGTTGTACTCCCTACAGTCATGGGGTGCCTTTGGTTTGTACCCTCTCCTTCAATCCTTTAATTGTGATGGTTATTTAAAACCCTTCTGTATTCACATTCCCCTCCACCTTTATGTGGAGTTAGTGTTCTGGAAGCCACTGACCCCACTTTAGTTACCTGATGACTTAAGGTCTAAAGGTATCTGGAAGGAGGTAGCATTTATTTTATTTATTTGTTTGTTTGTTTATTTATTTATTTATTTATTTAAAATATATCTTTATTGATTTCAGAGAGAGGAAGGGAGAGGGAGAGAGAGAGATAGAAACATCAGTGATGATAGAGTCATTGGTTGAGTCCGCAACCCAGGCATGTGCCCTGACCGGGAATCGAACCCCGATCGCCTGGATCCTAGGTCGACGCTCAACCGCTGAGCCATGCCCGGCCGGGCGGAGGTAGCATTTAACCCAAAGTCTGGGTCTCCATTCTGTCCTAGGGAGAGGTGTTTCCTACCCCTCCTCAGTCCTTCCCATCATACTGCTCTAGACTCCAGCAACTGAATCCTTTGTAACATGCTGGTTTCTCCAGGTGGGAACTTATAACAACAGCTCACACTGTTCTTAGCAAACTGCAGAATAGCTCCTTAATCTATATGCACCATCCCCTGAAAGACCTGGAATGCTGTGTCTTACCACCTCATCAACCTACTCCCCCAAGTTTTCCTTTCAACCCAGGACATTAACCAGATCCTAATTTGTTTTTCCATTTTGGTTTTTTATTTCCAACAAAGCACTTAAGACCAGGCCCACACAGAGGAGAGGATGTCATTTCCCCAAGGACTTAAAGTTTGGGGCTGTTCTTAACCCTTGGTCCCCTGCAATATGCTTCCCCTCACACAGAGGAGCAGTTGTGGGGAGGCAGGGCCCAGCCTTGCTGGAGTCTGGTCATTGGTACTAGCATCACTTTATAAGAGCACAGGGGAGACAATGTTTGGGGTACCCTCAGCCCTGGGTTTTCCTTCCTCCAAGGCTCTCCTCGCTTTTTGGCACAATATTGGACAGCCCTGGAGGGAGAGGCTGATTGAGGGAGAGCCTGAGCCTGTGGCTTGGCTTTAGGGCCAGGTAGAGCTGGGTAAGGAGGGACAGCAGGGCCCTGAATGCCATAGGCTTGCAGAGGGAGGAGTGGGAAAGAGGCATTCTTTGGACACCTAGAATTGAGGGGAATAGGTGGGTGGTGTCCTTCACAGCCTCTGTACTCTTTCTGCAAGGGATTCAAGACCACCAAAACCCCAATTCAAACTAATACGTCCTTTCAAAAATAGAAATAAAATGGGGAGGGATGCCCCCTGAAGAAGGCTCAATGCTTTGGATCTGGAAAGGGAGAGAGGTGTATTTGGTTGCTCAGAGAAGCAGCTTATGTGAGCTCAGATGTTAAGGGCTCTTACGCTGTTGGGACAAGGGGGTAAGGAACTCGGCACCCCCTTTGCCCATCTGCCCACTCAGACCACAAGGAATGCAGGTTGCCCATCCCTGGGTCATACCTCAGCTTGGGCATGAGTAGACAAAAACAGATTTCAGACTGATTCTGGTTATGAGACGGAGGTGATGACAGAGTCCCTGGCCTGCCTCCCAGCTTTGGGGGGAACCCTTAAAGCTACATATCTTTGGGTAGATTCACATACTTGGATCAAGAAGGTATACTGGGTGGAGTTATGAGGCAGGAGTGGTGGGGTAACGCCCAGCTGACTTGATTTAGTTAGAGGTTACTTGGTATATTTGGGAGGGCATAGATTCTCCCATTTCTTGAGGAAGAGGGAGGAACAGAGAAATCACACCCTCTTCTCTCTCCTGATGGTCAGGCCTGCCCCTCCCGAGAGGGGCTGAGGGACTTTGGTTCTTTCCTGACTCCGGGATGGCAGGGACAGATGATGCAGATTCTTTGGTGGGACCAGAGTTAGTGGCATCTAGGAGGAAGTGAACTTGGAGGGCCCTAGGCTAAGGGCGGCTGTTCCAGGGTCACTTGAAGAGAAAGAAGGTGTTCAGATCTTGGCCCCACGGCCTAAGCGCACTACTTTCACTTATCCACTCCCCCTCGCTTGAATCCCCGTAGCTGGGTGATGGGTTCAGTCTTCCCCGGCTTCCCTCCACTCAGAGCCTGGCCTCGACGGCCCCCAGCTCTGTTCGAGGCAGGGTGAGGCACTGCCCAGCACTCTCAAGACCCCTGTCTACAGAAGAGGCTGCCCAGATAGGAAGGGTCAGCACCATGACCTGTCTGGGGCCTCCCTCTGGCTTACCATCTGTTGGCCCTCGCCCTTCATCCTGTTGATACTCCCCAGGGATGGAGAGGCTGGGCCCCTGTGCAGGATGGCAGGGATGGGGCTCTGGCCCACTCTGCCTTCTGTCCTGTCCTTGGGAACCGCAGTGCTCTCTGCCCTGCTTCATGCAGCCCACCAGGCCTCCTCCTACGCCTGATACTACACAGCTCTGAGAACTGGTTCTCCCACTTAGCCTCATGTTCCTCGTTTATAAAGTGGACTAACCCGGCCAGGCGTGTCTNTGATACTACACAGCTCTGAGAACTGGTTCTCCCACTTAGCCTCATGTTCCTCGTTTATAAAGTGGACTAACCCGGCCAGGTGTGGCTCAGCGGTTGAGCATCGACCTAGGATCCATGTGATCAGGGTTCGATTCCCAGTCAGGGCACATGCCCGGGTTGCGGGCTCGATCCCCAATCGGGAGGGTGCAGGAGGCAGCTGATCAGTGACTCTCATGATTGATATTTCTCTCTCTCTCCCTCTCCTTTTCTCTCTCTGAAATCAATAAAGATACATTTTTTTTTTAAAAAGTGGACAAGTAATGGATAAGGTCTCCTTCTTGCTCTTTGGCCCTAAGCCACAGTCATGCAAGCCATCTTTCTAGCAGTTTTCCAAATTCTCCATCTTGACC